TCTGATGGAACTAAACCTGAACTGTTTGGCCTCAATGACCATCGGTACATCTGGAGGAAAAAGGAGGAAGCTGGAAGCCTGAGAACACCATCCCAGCTGTGGAGCACGGGGGTGGCAGCATCATGCTGTGGAGGGACTGGTGACCTTCACACAATAGATGGCATCATGAGGAAAGAACATGATGTGGAGATACTGAAGCAACATCTCCAGACATCAGCAGGAAGTTAAAGCTTGGACACTAATGGGTCTTCAGATGGACAATGTGGTTAAATTTGAGGTTATAAATATAACATATAATAATGTACAGAATTGACCTGAGGATGGGAAGTGCCCGGAGGTGACCTGTGCTATGATTTGGTGCTATATCAATAAAACCGAACAGAAACAAACTTCATCCATGCATACAGCAGACATCAGGGTGAACACGACACACACGGCAGCTCATCAGTTCTGCTCAACACGGCAGCACATTAAAATAGATCCAACAAAAAAATAAAGAAATAAAGCTGAAGAAAAGGGAAGACTTATGAATTCTTCATTATTCTCAAGTGTGGAGGAGAGACAAGTATGAGTGAGTGAGACCTTTTAGCGGCAAAAACCCATAGATGAAGACAACAGGAGATGGTGTTAAGCGCTGAAATATGCATGAGCTGATGAAAAATGAGCACGTTCAAAGCAAGTCGAGCTTTTATCTAACAGAGTATTAGTCACTTCCAAAAGCAGGGAGCTTGTATGAGCCCAAAACATCCTCTCAGCTCAACTCCAGAGGCCGGTTCCTCCATAGAAGCAGGAGCTGCTGTTTTCCTGTCAGGCTGGTGGTTTGCTAAATGAAACTGATTTAATATTCATCTGAAGCCGTTGTGTTTTCAGCTGCCTCCCTTGATTTGGCAAGAGGCCATTAGTCGCACGTTTTGTTGTCTCCCGCTGCTTCATCAGAGTAAAGTTACAGTCAATGAAATTTTAATTCCTTACGAGTCACACTGAGCCTTTAATCCTGGCAGAGCGAGGACGGGGCAGCAGAGGAGCAGCTGTTGGACTCGTCTCGTTTCCTTTTCTTGGGCCTGGTTGATTAATGGGGACCAAACTTAAGACTTTTAACCAGGGAGGCAGCGGCAATTAATGACTACAGTTAGCAGTGGAGGAGGGAAGGCTCATGCAAAACCACATCAGAGTCTAACGCAAGACAACACGGCAGCTCTGCAGCAAACCTCTGAAAGCTTACGGCTGTTTTTATTTTGATAGAGAGGATAGATTCTGCTGAATATCTGAGACTGCAATTTATCGTGTTGTTGCATAGCATTATATTACGATTTTACATTATGTAAAGTCCCTCCATTTATTTTCTATATCTGTTTATGCGCTTCAAGGTCGCGGCGCTGCAGCCTGGCAGGCATTGTGCTGGATGAAGGCACACCGTGGGCAGACTGCTGGACGGGATGAACGCATGCAGGATGCAGCTATGACACCAGATTATATACTGATCACATTTATACTCTTTTCAACACCTTTTCTTCTTTTTTTGCATAACATATACTTTCAATGAAAAGCTTAGTGTAGACGTGTAATGCAGGTATGTGGACTGATGCTGAATGCTGCCATCCACAGCATGATGCTGTGAACGAGTCTGTCTGTGTGACTGTTCACTAAAACCAAACAGCTACCGAGCAGAGCTTCATGAGACTCAGTAGAGAGGTGGAGAGTGTGCACAGGAAGCACATATTAGTGCATGTTGGTTGAATTCCAGTCAACTTTAGCTAAAACTGCAAGAAGAGCTGTTGAAAGGAGCTCTCACAGTGAACCTGTTTGTAATTCAGGGTTGAAATGTCGACCAGTCCGTGCAGCTTTATTGTGTAGCGTTTCTTTAGGACTCCTCGTATTTTGCACTTTAGGCTGCCGAGTGATTGCAAACCAACGACCTGGCTGGACACAAAGAGCCAAACGTTCGCCGCTCACAAACAGGAATACTCTGTTTAAAACGCTGCACCGCTGGAGAGCAAGAAACCGAGTTGGTGTCGATCACACTGGAAGACGAGCGAGAGAGAGATGGACAACGATGTTTGTGTATACTTGCCAAAGAGAAAAAAGTGGAGAGAGGAAAAGTGGAACTAGTGATGAAGTCCCAGCTTTCTAGTGCACAGCTGTGGTTTGTTAAAGGTAAAACATTTAGGGTTCTAACTAGTTTAAATTCATATAATCTAAGGCAGTTGAGCTACAGACGATACAGAGGACATGGACCGATGGCAGCGCTCACTTTAAAACAACAGCATCCAGGAGGTGCCTGGAGGAGTTCAGTCGAGTCTCAGAGACAAGAATCTCCCTCAAATGTGAAGAAAAAAACAATAGATCCAGGCGGCACAACTTGTCTTTGTTGGGTAAAGATTAATCTGAACACCAGCGCTTTGTCTGGAGGATCAGCTGCTTCTCCAAGGAGGCTGCTGAGTAAGGCTTGTTCTTGTCAAACTTTAGGGAGACTTCACTGATCACCTCCACATTCTGAAATCTGACATAGATGCAAATGAGTTTGCACATCTCGAGCTTCACAAATTAATCTAAGTTCACATAATCTGTTGTCGTTTTGCGCCGTGACATTTCCTGTTATCGTGCAGCAGCGAGCGGCCCTGGCAGGTCCTCAGACAGACGGTGTTCTGAAAACATATCGCTGAGGGCGACACAAAGCCTCAGCGTCACAATTTATGAAGGAATGTGAGCTTTGGTAATTTCAGTTAAAACCCAGTTCCATAGAGTTGTGTTGGCACAAAAGCCTGCTTCCATCGACTGCATCATTTAAGTGTCAAATACGTATGAAGAACAGGACACGACGATACGATTCCTCAGCGAGCTGATAGCCGGATGATTAGCGCACTCTAAATAGCAGCGCGGCGGCAGTATCCAGCGCCATTAGGGTAATTTGAGCAGGTTTCTGGTGAAATATTGACACCAATATGGCCCATTGAGTTATTCCACAGAAGAAAATAACCATAACACAGCTGGAGGTGGTTGATAAGGCTGCTGATGGATGTCAGCGAGGCGGCCATCACTTCACCAGGTGCTGACTTTGAAAACTCGTGGCCTTTACTTTCTTTGGAAACGACAGCTCGCCTCTGCTGGTGGGAAACAGAACGGTCTCTGGAAAGTTGGTGAGTGATGAAGACAAAATCCGACTGAAGAATGTCAGCGGACTCAGAAGGTGGGAAGTGACGGGAAGCTTCTGCAAAGTCTGACCAACTATTTTTGCTGTGAAACATTTGTTCCTGTACCGGGAACAGGCTGGCCAGCTTCCTCACTTTTACTCAGCAAGATAAGGAATAAAAAAGAAGCTAAACATGGGGGAGCTGCAACAAAACCATTGTGGAGCCGACGGAAACTCACCAGTTTCCATTCTCTGCCTCCTCCAGGAACTGGACCAGGTCGCCCGTCTCCAGAGAGAGGTCCTTCGCTTCACGGGACTCGTAGGTCAGCTGCACCCGGAATCGGCTGTTGTCACCCTGCGGAGAGGAACGAGTTCATTTCATTTAGCCAGTTTCAAAACCAAAACGAGATACTGCTTCCTCTGATAGCCAAATATTACAGGATAAAATTAAAGGAGATGCACTTTGGCCAATGACTGAAAATTGCTGAGCTGAGGTCAAATCCAGCTGCAGCAGAGAAGGCATCCAATGTACCGCGATGAATGGAAAACACATCCATCATCTCTACACCTTCATCCTCACTAGGGTCATGGGGGGCGGAGCCTATCCCAGCTGACTCAGGGTGAAGGCAGGTTCACCTGGACAGGTAACCAGTCTATCACAGGGCTACACTTAGAGACAGACAACCAAGCACACTCACATTCACACCTACGGACAATTTACAATCACCAATTAACCTCAGCATGTTTCTGGACTGTGGGAGGAAGCCGGAGAACCCGGAGAGAACCCACGCTGCACGGGGAGAACATGGAGACTCCACGCAGGAAGATCCTGGGTGTCCTCACTGGGACGTGAACTGGCAACCTTCTAGCTGTGAGGCGCTAACGGTGCTAACGGTGCTAACCACCAAGACACCTGCAGCCCTGAAGACTTACATTTAAAAGAAAACTTTTAATTATTATGACAAGAAATAAACGTAGTGTTTAAATGTCCACAGGTGGGACTCACTTTTTTTTTTTGACACCTGATCAACATTAAATGTAGATCCCTTTAGACAGTGTGTTCCAGCAGCAGCCTGTGTGGCTTTCTGCTGCCACCACACTGATCATCACGGCCCTAGAAAGGCCCCCATCCAGCAGTTCAGTCCTCGTCCTCTCTCCATGTCTCCGTCATTTCTAAGTCAGTGGTCAGTGCCTGTTGCTAACGAGACACGAGTTCATGGGAAATAATGAAGCAGCAGAGGGCTCCTCCTTCTGGGGCACTGAGAGGGGATTTAGTGGAAAGGCGGGAGCAGTGAAGGATGAGCGCAGAGGAAATGAGAGATGAGCGTCTGGGGATGGTTGGTGAGCAAGAAACGTGATGATTTATGTGAAAGCTGACATGACACAACTGGGCCTGAATGGGTCGGGCCGAGGTCTGATCGTGTCAAATGATGCTGAACTCGTGTAGTTTCACATTTAAATGCATTCAGAAAGCTTCACGTCACCGTGTGAGCTCTGAGTGCTACCTACGTTTTTGTTGTTGCCTTCGTCTTCTGAAGAGTTGGAGGATTCCTCACCACTGGAGGGAATCGTCTCAAAGTCCTCCGTGTCCATGGAGAGGAGCCGCCGCTGGGTCCATCCTGAGGGGCAGCAAAACACGTTATCAACCAACAAGATGTGCTCGGAAACAAGGCAGGTGGCGGCGCTCCGTCATGCTGCGGTCCAGGAACTCGTCTGTCTGCAAGAGTCAAAGCCTAAAGCCAAGTTACTCACATGATGAAAGTATGCAGAACAATCTCTGATGTAAAAAAGCAATAAATATAAATTTAATAGTGAATCGAAATGTTAAGATTTAAATGCTGTTTTCACGTCCAGGGTTTTCTTCGATTAGAAAGAGGAGTGTGTGTCTTTATGCAGTCAACGGTGGAGTCTCAGTCAGACTTTAGGCACAGAGCAGCGAGCAGAGGGCACCAGGAAGAAGCTCCCAGAACCTGTGGTCCCACCAGCACCAGAACCAGCAGACATGACTGGTTTATAGTGTCACATCTTTAGAACAACAACCAGCGTCCATTTATCATTAACTTGAAGCCCCTTTCCTTTACCTTATGAGTTTTAGTTGCCCAAAATGTAAACAGCAGCTTTAGGATTAGGTTTGCAGCAGTTATTCAGCCACAGATTAGCTGTGAGGACTTATTCCAGCAGCACACCTGGACGGTGGTACACGAGCTGTTAGCAGCTGTTTGATGGAATAAGGCTTTAAAAGAGAAACGTGATGAGAAACAGATTGCATTCCAGCTGTGTTTCTGTATGCAATTTATTTAAGATCAGTCTGACCTGAGAAACGAGCATTTAGCGGAAAGCAGATGAAGTTTTCACATCAGAAAAATTAAAGAATGAAAAAAGCCAACAGCAGCCCGACCTCAGCAGAGAAACCCTCATCGACGGTTTAACCCTCTGGACTCAGGCTGGTATCGCTCGTGTCACCTTTCTGTCACTGGAGACTTATTTTTCCTGATGGAGCCACAATGAGGAGTTCAAGGACCATTCAGAAGTTCTCCCTCTGCCTTCACAGTTTCAGGCTGATAAATGGTTTCATTTGGTGATTTGTTAAAAAGAACTATCCCGTGCTTTTCAGACAGCAGTGGGCTTCAGCACTCAGAGGGTTAAAGGAACGGCTGCTTACAGTCTCTGAACTTGTCCCAGTGGCTCATTTAAAATAAAATGGAAAACATGAAGGACAAGGTTGCTGCAGATGTGCAGGTCTGTGCACCGTGACCTTTCCTAGACCCAACCAAGCTGGTCACTTTCCCAAACTAACCATCCACTGAAAACCTTTGAACACAGACTGTGTCACTCCTGTTACTTTATACATGGACGAGGTGGGTCAGAAAAGTTCCAGGACTGGTGTCACAAAAGATAGATTACAAACCCAAACTACCAGTGTTCTCCTTCCCAGTAACCCTCCTGGAGTCTACCACCCTCCTCCAGCCTTCTCTTCACGCCGCCATGCACTCCTGGAAGGATTCTTCAGGATCCTCTCAGCTCCGTCCTCACAGCCATCTTGATGTCGTCCACGTCTTCATAACGGGTCTCCTTGATGACCCCCTTGAGCTTGGGGAAGAGGAACCAGCCCCACGGAGCCAGGTGGGGTGAGTAGGGAGGAGATGTTCTTCTCAGCCAGGAGCTGTGGGATGCTCAGGGCGCTGTGAGCAGGTTGTCATGGTGACGCAGCCTCCACTGGTCCTGACACAACTCTGCCTCTTCTGGACGAAGCAAACGCTGCAGGATCTCTGTAGACGAGCTGGTTGATGGTCTGAAGGGGAAAAGTACTAGTTTTTAGTTTGAAATATATCTTTTGTGACACCAGTCCTGGAACCTTTCTGACACCTCGTATATATATATATATATATATATATATATATATATATTCTGACGCATTCTGTCCTTTAGGTGTGAGGACATGTTGCTAATAAAAGTTTGCCGGATACGAGTTCTAACCAAACAAAGTAAATTCCCTCAAAAACTGGAGGAATCAGTTCCAACACTTGAGCGGAGGGTTCTCCTGCAGTTACCTGGTTGGGAGGTGGATCTAGGGACGGCGATGGTGCCACCAGCAGCGGGGGTAGTGCTGCTAGTCATGCTCTGACGTTTCCCCGCTGTAGCCATAGCGCCACGCAAAGTATCTGGAGGGAAGCCAAACGCTTTATACCAGTCTGGAGATGACAGTTGATTCACAGCAATCGCAAGCCACAAGCAAAGATGTACAAAGTGGTTGATCGATCAAATCCAGTCTATCTACTCATGCAGCACTCAACGAGCCAACAAGACGAAATAAAAACCCAACAAACTCCTCATCACACTACAACACAGAAGTCTGATGCTCATGCAGTGGAACATCACAACACAAGCCGACGGAGCAGGCAGCAATCACACACATGGGAAGTGACACGGATCATCCACAAGTCAAAATAAAAAAGAATATTTAAACAGTCACAGACATGTTGTGCCCACTGAACCAAACAGTGACGTGTTTGTACCTTCGTAACCGAACGGAGTGGGATCGCTCTTAATCTCATGCCGTTTGCTCTTTATGCTGGCAGAGAGTGGACCTGGACGGGAAACAACAACCGGGCCGAGTTAGAAACCAGCTAGGAGGAAGGACAGCACACAGCAGCTTCAAACACGCCTGTAGATTAAAACCCATTTCAGACATGATGGAGTTTCTATATGCAAGTGTGACGACTCTGTTGGACCGCTGACACACTGTCATTGACAGAACCGGACCCTAAACCTTCCACGGCTAGTTTTTAAAGGAAACAAGCTGCTGTGTTGTCAGCTGTCTTAGCGATCTCAATGACTTTAAAATTATAATTGTTCAATTATTAGTTATTGATTATATTGAGGGTTATTATTATTTGATAGAATATAAAACTGGTGCTGCCAGAACTGATTCATTGGGTCTGAGAAGGTCTAAAATAAAGCAAACAATGACAAGATTATGACTCGTGTTAATTTAAAACATGATGTCTGAGATCCACTCTGTGAAAAGTTGTGTAAATGTTTGCCTTTAAAAATGACAATGGATCAGAATTACATTTGGGTTTGAACTTATTGTATATTTTTTGTACATACAAATGTAAAATTAACATGCTTTTAATTTGACAGTTCCAGGTTTAACATCTGCTTCTGTGTGTTTAACGTTGTGCAAACTGGAGCTTCTCCTTTAAATGACAGCATGAAACTCACACAGCGGCAGCGCAGGAAGTGCTCTTCACATATCTAAGTACAGCCTTTATATATATATATATATATATGATATATACACACACATATGTATGTATGTGTGAGAGCTTGTTCAGAAGTGAGCGCACACAATTCAGGACAATTTAACGGATCAAAGCTGAGCTCAGAAGTCGGGCTGTAAAGTGTGATGGATGTTTAGATAATTCCAGCAGTTTACTCAGATTTCAGCAGTTTGTCTTTTTCAACGCAGACATTCTGACTTGAAGTGTCGCCACCAGCATTAATCACGGCTCTGTTCTGTCTGAGACACTAAAGCGCCTGTTTGACTGTTTACACCTGCGTTTCTCATGTCCTGAGAAAAAGGCCCGTTTACGTTGTAAATAAAACGTTTTCATTGCTGTTGAGAACAATGAAGAATCTACAAAAACAAGGCCCATGCTACAAAAAGCATCCTTTGACTAATTATCGTTTTAGTAGCTCAGTCTGTGGATGTGATTTGACGGATGTGAAACCAGCAGCGCCCTGATCAGCTGGAAGTTATTTAAACGTCCTCGGCAGCACGATGAGGAAAAAGGAAGCAAGAAAAGCAGAAAACTGACCGAAACTGCCTGAAAACAGTTAAAAGTTTCCTTCTGGACTCTTTTCCAGCCGCTGCCTGGATGATAATCAGCGTCTCATCTGTATTCACACTAAATTGAACTTCTGCTGCTACTTTTAATGTCACCCTACGTTCCAAATGTCAGCTTATCACAACTCTTATTTCCTCACCGCGCTTTAAAAAAAGAAAGAATATGTATGTCGGCTCATTTGCAACTTTTTGGGCTCCATCGTTTTCATTCTCAGTCGACGCTCGGCTTCCTCGACGCGGTGCAGACATCAGTGTGAGGCGAGGACTGCATCGCGACGCTAATAGGAAATGGAAATATCCGTCCCCACGCGCTACGCCTGCGTATGCATGTGGCGTACGTATATGTGCTCGCAATCTGTCACCACCGGTTCAGTCTGACTGTGTTTTGTATGAAATAGCAAAGCGTTTGCTGAAAAACAGCCCGCTGGCATTAACACATTCTTCCAACTCAGAATGAACCTTTTGATATGATCAGATTGTGGTGCACACGCGTGACTGACAGCTGAGCCAGCGTGTGCTCCAAAACACGGCGTAAATAAACTCCAGCTTGGCTCTCAGTCTACGTACACAGCAGGGGATGAACAACAGCCTCCAAGCTAAGGGATGACCAGTTAATGTGCTGTTTGTCCTGAAAACTGATGTTATAAATGCACTTCTCTCTGAGCAGATGATTATTTGGAAGGTAATTCAACAAGGAAAGGTGCAGAACGTGTCTGTATTTGTAGTTAACGGAGAAAAGTGAGCAAGCAGCTGATGTGAGTTGTGGATTAAAGTCATCAGTGTCACCGTGAGGCGATAGAGGTGACAGTCAGGGAGGCATAAAGGTGATGTTCTCTCATGTTTCACAGGAAATTGTGTCTTTAGCTGAATAAAAAAGATTTTAACGTTGACATCAACTTGCCAGGTGAAGGATAATTATTGTATTTGCATGATAATTTAGCCTAATGTTTGAATTTTAAACTCCTGCACAGTACAGTGTCATGACCAGGACGCTTCTATTATTCTCATTATTTACTGTATGCTGGTGGAAAACGGACATTAACTCATATCTCTGCAGATATGTGAGTCCAAGAAATACTACACAATATCATACACAACACATACAGGCCTGTTGTCGAGGACCCTGAAACACCTTCTGCACATGGAAACATGGAAGTCCTGAACAGGTAAACTCAGGTGTGGCTAGTTTACATCGACGGACAACAGCAACAGAGGACGTTGCCCAGATATTTTTTTTAAAAAAAGCAAAATGTTCAATTATCTGTTCTGGTACAGGTTTGTTCCTAAAAGAGCTCCCAGAACACACATTTTACTGTATTTCTAAGTGTATAATGCGTTTTTCATTCAGCTCTGTAGTGAGCTTCTACCTGTTGGACTGTGTGGCTACATTCATCAGCTAGCTGTGGCTGAGCAGCCAATACGAACAGAATGAAAGAAAAAAAACAGATTGCAAAGAGCAAGAAAGCATGAAAAGCAAAACATGGAGGCTCAGAATAATTAGGTACCTTTTGTGCGTCGCGTGGCGAAGGAGGAGGAGGAGGAAGAGGAGGCGAGAGAGGAGGTGAGGGAGAAGCGGCGGGGAACCTCTGCCTCCTTAGTAGCAGGTTCTAGGAGCAGAAGAGGGTTCAGGGAGCAGGAAGAGGCATGAGGAGGAACGAGGAGGAGAAGATGGAAACGGCAAAGTGAGGGAAGCAGTGGAGGACGGACGTAGAAATACAGCATTAAGCAGAAAGAAAAGACAAGACGACTGGTCAGCATATAACAGAAGAGAAGAAGTCAGTAGTTTAATATTCTAAACACCAAGACATGACGTTTAGCTCCTGATAACAAGAATTATTCATGACTCATCAATAACAACAATGATGATGATGACAGAAATGAAGACAAACTATGACCAGAATCCAGAGTCCACCCACAGCTTTCTACCACCTTTCAGGACCTCTCTCAGTGGAGGGGGTTTGCTTTGGTCATGCAATAATAACTCTGCATGACAACTGAACATGAAGGTTATGGTCATGTGACAACAGCTGGTCTGATGGGAGCAAGAAAGGAAACCCCAAGCAAAGGACCTGTTCAGAGGGGTTTTCATTACTGACTCTCTACATGTGCTCAGTGACGTCAACAGAAGACTGTCGCCATTAATAAAGCCGGGACAAAGGACAAGGTCCCACACGGATCGCCGTTCGTCATCACTAGTTCAATAAATGTGACTTTCAGCACCGATGTCTCATCACCTGATGCAACGCCGCAGCAACACAAACAGTCGCTTCCACTCGTCTTAAAGGACGTCTTCTGTCAACGGACTTGCTGGACACCTGCTACCTACTGACTTCACTGTAAATGACAGACAGAGGGTTGAACTGGCTGCCAAACCTGTGAGTAGAACTGCTCAGCTGGTGGCTGAGAGGTTTGGACACATACTGCATGGGCACATACGCCTTTAGCAACCAATAGCTGGTTTGAATCCTGGCCGGGAACCATCTGCTGCAGGACGCTTCACAATAAAGGCAAAAACACCCGACAATAAAGGCTTTGCTCCCCAACTCAGAGTCATCTGGGCCGGACCGCTGTGACACAGTAAGCAGAACCTAGAACCAACCTGCAGTCTCCTCCAAAAATGTTAATATGCTTCAAAATGCCAGCAGGGCTCGGATACTGGAGGGTGACATTTAGTTGGGTGCTGCACCAGACTTTAGCCGAGCCACAGTGTCAGAAATCTCTCTCTTCATCTGCCCATCACCTGCTGTCTGCCTGTCTTCAAATCCTGCCTCTTCAGCCATTCTTCCCAAAATCACAGTCTAGTTGTCGCAGTGCAGGCAGGAGCAAAAGATAGTGACACAGACAGATAAAAGCAGAGGAAGAGGAAAGGATGGAGACGTGGCCTTTGTTATGTTGACACACTGTGAACACGCAGAGATCTGCCCGACAACCAGGAGGTACACACTGACTGAAACGTTGGAGGAAGGAGAAAGAAAAGCACAACAGCAGCCGACCTGAGTGGAGAGGGAAGATCCAACTAAAAAGAAAAGCCACAGGGTAGACGCTGCTGCCGCTTAGGATGATGGTAGCTATCATTATGATGAAGACTATGAGAACATAAAGCTGACAAGGTTGACAAGACGCCGGTGGTGATGATGATGATGATGAGGATGATGAGGATGATGATGATGATGATGAAGGGGGCAAAGGGGAGCACTTGATGTGTTGCTGTTACCTGCTGGAAGGGACCTCCGTTTGGAAAGTCCTTGCAAGGTGAAATGCTTCCTGGCATTAACAGCCGAGCGGCCTGATTGGTTGACTGAAGCATCGACTGAGTGGCAAAGCAACAGGAAGCAGAAGTTAGTACAGCAGGGAAAGGAGGTCAGAGGAGTCCTGGATGGTGCTTGGAAATGTTAAGAACGACATGAGTTTCAGTACAAAACACATTATTTCACGTCAGGTTAGTGTGTTTGGTGTTTTGACACAAACAACTGGCTGCTCATTGCATCTGTGAAAAGTAAGTACCTGGACATTGTTAGCTTCATGACACCTGTAGAGGAGGCACTTCATCCTCTGAGATACAACACAACAAGGAACACGTGCTTCATTCAACAACAATAAGACCAACAGATGTACTGGTGTTCTGGTGTTGGTGCATGTGAGTCCGTCCTGTTCAAACTGTTGGCCCATCGTGTGTTCAGACACAGTGCAGTCATTTACGACAAAAAAATACTACAGACATTTTTATCAAGTGCTCAAATGAAGTTATTTTTCTAATTTACGGGCAGTCGTTTCGTTCCAGCTCAGTGTTGGGAAACACTTCCACTCTAGTTTGTTGTCTAGTTTCACCGTCTGTCTCTTGTCGAAGTAAATCCACCTGTAGCCCTCGTTCACCTGCGATAGACATGGCTATGAGTCAAGTTACCAGCATGGCATCAAGTGGGAGCGTCTGAAGAAGGACACTGTTCTCAGCCAAGATGGGCTTTCACATCAACTCATAGCTGGACTGAAGCTTTCTGAGGGGTCAGGGCCCAGAATTTGTGTCGTGCAGCACTAACTGCGCTCCAAGGACTATAGAGCGAACGCCTGGCAGTAAAGTGAATGTACAGAATACATAGACACAACCTACTGCACATTTATCCAACAGTCTCTAAAGGAGACTCTCCAGAGCTAGAAAAGCAGCATAACAGCAGCGTCGGTGGGTGTCTGCATCGGAGTCTAATCAGTCCTTAAGGGGCAGCGCGTGGTGCTCAGAAACACTTGGTGGAAACTGAATCGTTGCATCCAAAGCAGGATGAGGCAGACTAAAGATGATCCCACCATCAGAAAATCAATACATCAAGTTGTGTTCACAGAGAGACAGAAGGCAGCTAAATACCAAATGAAAAGCACACGATTCCAATCAGCAAAGTCAGAAGAAGGCTGTCTGGTAGGGTCTCCAAGGACGGAGAAAGTCAATAAAGCACTGCTCAGGAGAGTAAACAAGTGAACCCAGCAGGTGGGCTGCAAACAGACCAGCACTTCACAGTGGGTGGTCAGTCCAGAGGGGCCTAGTCTGGACTACACCTGCACAAACTGACTCCACCCTGACCACGGAGAGGCAGCATTCCTCAGAGACATGCTCCACCCTCCTACTTACATCTTTGAGGAAAAGGAGGATAATGAGGCCAAACACACTTCAAAGCTTTGGTTATCCTCCACAGTCAGCTGACCTCCACCTCACTGAACATTCATGGTCTGCAAGAAAGCCCAACGCTTCTGACGTGACACTTCAGAGTATGATCACGTCACACCGGGGTAACACGTTTACCAGGTCAGGGCTGCATCATCACCTCAAAGGGGGACAAATGTTCAGATACTCTGACGTTCATGGACATTAGTCAGAGATTCAACTGTTCACTCAGATTGTTAAGCTGACCTCATGAGCTGGAATGAAACTGTTCTGAAACAAATGCAGCTCCTTCTGTCCATTTCTGAGTCTGTCTGTCTGCTGTCAGGACGCAGTGACCTCGTTGTGGGACATCAGTCTGTAGCCTGGGTGACTGTTAGAGCCAGTTTCTGTTTCATCAAACGCATCACGGAGGTTCGTCTGAGTGTGTGTGAGCTAATCATCAGCAGGAAGCAGCTGATGAGTGTCTGGACAGTGTCTGTGTGGAGGAGTGAGGAGCATCATGAAGCTAAACTCCAACAGCGCTGGAATCATAAAGCCTCTTTACTGTCAGGAGGCAGAAAGGCCTGAGAGGGAAGGGCAGGAGAAGGTGTCCTAAGAAGAAAAAAGGCTTAAAAAAAGGAGAGTGCAGCAGAAAGACAGAGTAGAATGCTAAAACAGAGAGCACAGAATGAATAGGAAGCAAACAAGTGGCTGGAGGGCTGACAGGAGGAGGAATAAACAGAGTGACAGTGGACGGAGTGGACAGGTAGGCTGCTTCTAGAACAGGGCCAGCTTCCCGTCTGAGGGGCCAGACCAGAACCCACGGCTCTCTGTCAGCTGTCCTGAAACCTTACCTTCCCACCAACATCTGGGACCAGAGGTGAGCGTGGTGCCGAAAGCAGATTCAGAGCGAGAGCAGAAGCAGAGCGAAGAGAAACCACATGAAGAAAGCAAAGACACTGAGCATGTACCCAGCTGCCGAAAACTACTTCTGAGCAAAACACGAGGCCAAGAGATGAAACTGCACCTTCAGCGCTTTCTGAATACTTTAGATATCTGTAGCTTGCTGCTTTTTTTTAAACAGAGCAGATCTGCAAATGACTAATCCATCAGCCCACACGGACTCTGAGAGCATGTCCACATTACACCAGCTGGATGAGTCTGTTCCTCTCCATTTTAGAGGCTGTGGCCTGTTCAGACCTGATCAAGCAGTCACAAGCACAGGATTTAGATGTTTGATTCATGGACTTTTCTGTTTTGTTTATTCACTCGTTTGTCCTGTAGCCTCCGTATCCTCCACCCAGTAAAGGTGTAGAAACAACTTCCTGCCGACTCCTCATACAGGAAACATCCGACTCTTTTTGACCTACAGAGATGAAGGTTTGTGTTTGTGACACTAGTGTGCCTGCTGAAGAACACTTTCATCATGTCGCTGTCTGATGAAGGCTTGGATACAGACTACATGAGCTCCAGCGTCCTGTTCAAGACTCTTTTTCTGTCTTTTTCAAGTCGAACTGGACCCCCGGTCAGAGGAGGTGTCTGAGGAGGCCACGCTGGTGAAACATTTGGTAGAACATCAGCTCTGCAGCTTCCTTTGCAGAGGATCATTTGAAATGAGCAGACTTAGAGAACTGTTTAAGAACCGACACGATTACGGTGTTACCACCAGGGGAATCCAGTGAGACCCTGTGGATGGCCAAAGCCTGGAGCTGGACTCTGATGAGGAGGTCTGTCCTGGGAACAGACAGGGCAGGAAGCCAGGAGGGCCCTCGCTACCTGCTAGAAGAGGAGGTTTCTGGGGGACGCTGTGCCCTTCTGGGAAGGAACAAATTGTGTGAGCTGGCTGCAGTACATTCCTGGATTCTCCAGGCGACGCCGGCACTCCTCTGCGGTGGGTTTGATCCGCCTCGGCTGTGTGAGCTTGGAGAGCCGACTGGGACGCTTGAGCCTTGAGGGCTATGGGCTGCTCGGGAAACTCTGGAGTAGCAGAGGAGGACTGAAAAGGCGCCCTGGCATCTGTGGACTGAAACCTCTCCTTTATCTCATACAGTTGTGATTGCAAACAGTTAATTTAACCAGAGTCTGGCTCGTCAGGGAGTTCACAAGCTGTAGGTTCATCTTTGATACGGCAGCTCGGGAGAGTTCCTCCTGCTTACAGCAAATATGGTGCAAAACTCAAACACTGGAGTCGTCTCCTCCTGCCCGTCTTCCTTCTTCAGGTCTGGAAGACCCTTTGCTGCTTTCTGATTCAATGCTGCATAGTCAAAAACCTTCCACAGCATCACAGGAAAAGACAATAGAGATGAGAAGATGGGAGCCTGCCTTTCGCCTTTGGCTGTTCCTCAGAGTTTGGTCCAGCAGGAGGCGATCTGGGCACACTTCATGAGAAAGGTGGACGGCTTGAGGTCAAATGGCAGCAAGCACAGGATCAAGAATGGTCAGCATCCTCCAGCCTGACCAGTAAAGGCACCTGGTTCTTGTTGTTGTCTGTTTCAGTAAACTAGATGGAACTTTGAGGAGTTTGATAATGAAGGAAAACGACAAACATACATTAAAGAAGGGAGACAGACAGGAAGGTTCTGGACATGAAACATAGATAGAAAGGTGATGAAAGAGGTAATAAATGTAGAAAGAAGAAAATATGTGAGGTAGAGACCAGGTAGCTCCCCGGAGGTGAGCGCAGACGATTCTTCCCCGTCACCTTGAGTGAGTGTTGGATTCCTGATGCACGCACGTTAATCTGAAATCATATCTGCTATCTAACAGACTGTCTGTCTGGGCATCTCTGTGTGAGGAGGCCGTCCAGCATCTGCTCTTTGCCCGTCCATGTGTGTGAACAGGTTCTGTCTCGCCTGCTTTTCATTTCAGAGCATGTTGCCACAGGAATGACTGTCTCCAGGGTCAACACTTCATTTCCCATCTTTCAAATAATCCACATCAGAAAGAGAGATGTTAAACTTTGCAGAACGAAAAAAAAAAACTTGTTTTGGAGTCCAAGTTCAGCTGGACTTGCAGTGACCTCTCACCTCTCTTCTGCCTCATGTTGGGACTGGGGTTGGACCTCCTGAAGCCCGACTCCGGACTCGAGGAATCCGACTGCTTCAGCGCCATCTTACGAACATTCCTGTGGGAGTGGAGGGAAGGAAACAAAAGTAAGCAAGTGAAAGGACTGCAGCAGAGTGACAGCAGTCTAAATGTTCCCTGTTCTACCAAACGCTGTCACTGTGGAAGCTGCTTCAGTCTTTTGCACTGAGAGGATTTATCGTATCACTTTGCAATTTGTGTGATTTGTTTGTTGCTCACCTCATGGGGGCCCCGTAGATGTTGAGCTGGCTGGCTTCTGTGAACCCAAGAGAGACATGAGGTTTTACTGTTTATCAAATGACGGCATTGTGTTTCCTGCAGCAGGAACCCATACCACTGTGACAGCACGGTTTGTATGTCGGCCTTTTCTGATCCGCTGCCTCAGTGATTAAGGTCTGATGAAGCCGAAACATCTAAAACTACTGGATAAGAGTGAAAGGATCAGCGCTGAGATAACTGGGAAACTGCTGTGTCTCTGGTGTTTTAGTTTCCACCTGGTAGGCTGAGGTGTGCTGCAGCGCTGCAGTCGTCCTGCTTTGCTTTTGTTTTGACATTTGCACTTGTAGCTACGCTGAACAACATCAAGCTGCTCATCACCAGGCTCATGTTGGGTTTAGTCAAAACAATCCTGAACCTGATCCGACAATTATGAGAAAATGTTGTAGTTTGGAGATGAGGAGTCCTGACTGATGAGAGAGGAATGATGCTCTGAGTGACATGGAGTCAGGCTTCAGCACAGTTTGTACCAACATGTTAGGTGCTGATGCATGGAGCTTCGTTAATACGGCCACATTATGAATTCATTTATATGTTTATTCTCCTATCCGTTCGTTATCCTCATTATCATTTAGACTATTTGTTGACAACAACAAGGCGGCAGTGGGAGCAGCATCCTCCACACAACCACACCCTGCTCTGAAACACCAAGCAGCAACATCACCAACACCTCATCCTCTGGTCAGTAAAGCCCACAACAAGATGACACAAGATCCACTCAACCAACTCCACGGTGAGCCGCACACAACGTCTTCTGAGCACGTCACCATTGTTGTAACCACCACTGCTCTTTGGAAACTCATCAGCCACAAACATGACAACAAGCAACAACAGAACTGAAGCAGGTCAACAAACAAAAAAACAGGCCAACAGCGTAGAAGACAGTCAGCAAGTCATCACCACCAGCAACAAGCAGGACTCATGTGATCACCTCTGAAACGGTGCCTGCAGATAGAACTGACATATGCAGCTTCATTCGTAGCAATTACAAAAGTTTCATCGAGTAGAAACAGCAGATCTATCAAATGGTAAAAGCAAGAATCCATCAGATTAGAATCAGGGCTCCCAGTGAGGTGTCAGTGATTAGAACCTGCTCAGGGAGCACCAGGTGGAACCAGTCTTCCTCTGACATCGAGGCTCTGCTCTGGTCTTTGAAGTGTGTCGTGTCCATCAAACTTCATCACAGGACGTGCAGGTAACTCTGGTATCAAAGCGCTCTGTCTGCACTCACAAAGACGACCGGAGCTGGAGGATGAAGTATTTGCTGCCTGAACCAACTTTGTAATGAAACCTACAGTTTGATGCTACGAGCAGGTCTTCTGGAATAATGTAGTCCTCAGAGACAGTTAAAGACAGCGCTGTCTGGCTGCAGTAACAGCAGACATGTTGGAGTACGGTGATGTCAACGCTCTGGTCTGGAGCTGCTGCTCTGCCACAAGAACTGGGCAGCTTCCCGTCCTCGGGTCAACTCTAAATTCTGCATCATATCAAAGAGCGCTTGAAGACAACGTGGGACTAAATATGCCCAAAAAAATGAAGAAGTCATTATTGTCTATTGACTTTTTTCACACTCCTGTATGTGTTTACTGTAGTCGTGCTTTTATTCCAGCAGTAACACAGCGTCATCACTGCTGGTACCATGAACTGTCCTGT